AAGCAGTTCTAATTGAATCTGAAGCTTTCTAAATGACTCTGGTGCGTTCTAAATGATGCTAGACAGTTTTATATGATTCTGGAGTGCTCTAAATGGTACTAGACAGTTCTAAATAACTCTGGTGCGTTCTAAATTGCTCTAGGCAGTTTTAAATGACTCTGGAGAATTCTGAACAGTTTTATTTGATTCTGGAGCTTTCTAAATAACTCTGTTGCGTTCTAAATGATTCTATAGACAATTTAAAATTATTCTGCAGCGTTTTAGACTCTTCTAGACAGTTCTAAATGATTCTGGAGCGCTCTAAATGGATCGATACAGTTCGAAAATATTATGGAGCGTTCTAAATGGTTCTAGACAATTCTAGTATTAATTATAAATGTCCCAAATAGGAAACGAGAATTTTCGCCGATTGGAGCGCCCTCAGTGCACCAGGCCGAGAACTTTCTACCCTACCCTCGTACGCGATGTTTAGTAACACCCTGCAGTAAAATTTGTAAAGAAATGTTTTTAATTAGGTGGCTACCGGGCGAACGAATGATCGGCGGCATCGGGAAAATCGGTTTACGGGGGGGGAAGAAGGGGGACCAGAAATCGGGGTTTAGGTATATATAAATCGGAGTGCCGGGAGACCGGGGAGAGTCGGTGCGGCGACCGCTGCGTTCGTTGCGGTCGCCAGATTTATTGCAACTTTGTCCGCCGCACCAGAATCGTATATATCTGGTGAAAAACGGTCGGACACAAATTGCGTTTCGATTATTATATTGCCTTTTATTCCTCCCAATAAAATCGGGAAATATATTATTGGACGCGTGTACGTACACGGAGATTTACTTCGTCCGCATGCGGAGGCGGTGCGAACGCACGCAGAGGAAGAGGCCGTTGAATTAACACTCTGTTTTAATACCCGGATCAAGATAGTAGTTTCTTTACTATACAGGGTGTTCCAAATGCTAAGATTTAAGGGGGTGATTCCTGGACCTATTTTAAGGAAAAAACTTCGTATAAACCTATGTCCTAAACGTCCTAACTTTTGAGATACAGGGTGTTAAAGTTTTGAGAAAAAAAATCAATTTTTTGTAATAACTGTGATACTAGTTTAGATATCTTTATGAAATTTGGCAGGCGTCTTATATGAATCAAGATCCCTTTTCTGATGTACAAATAATTTTATTATTTTCAGCAGTGGCGTCCGTACGGGTTTTGCATTAAATATTTTTGGAGAAAAAATGGTACGCCATTGCCTAATATTGAAATAAAAATTATTTTCGGAATCCTCATTCAATTCAGAACAAATTTGACTTTATAACTTTTTTCCGTACGACTCATCGTTTCGTTTAAAAAAATTAATTTTAGGTTTAGGACATCATTTTTTTCTTAAAATGGCTCCAAGAATCACCCCCTTAAATATTAGCATGTCATTTTGGAACACCCTGTTTACATTAGCTAGTTGCTTGAACTTTCGCCTTCTTTATACTGCTCTATTTAATCAATTTTACTGATGTGGTAGTTGCATGAACTTTCGCCTTCTTTATACTGCTCTATTTAATCAATTTTACTGATGTGGTAGTTGCATGAACTTTCGCCTTCTTTATACTGCTCTATTTAATCAATTTTACTGATGTGGTAGTTGCATGAACTTTCGCCTTCTTTATACTGCCATTATAGGATTTGATCAATTTTACTGTGGTAGTTCGATGGCCATTGCCCGGTATATACACACATACATACACAAATCATGGGGCCCTCGGGGAACGGCGCTCACCTGTCACAATACGAAAATCCGGAGCGACACACGTATTCCAACAATAGAATCACGACGTGCCCCGAAAGGTAAATTCGTCCCTTCTTCATCCCTTTTTTTTTCCTTCTCTCCGCCTCCGCCATCTCTCGCTCCCCCGTTTCTTTCTGCACTTTCGAGACGTTGCACACATCTGTCGACCGGTGTTTATTTGAATAGTTCATTCTTAAAGGAAGTCAGTAAATTGAATCCCGTTTCCTTTTTTAACCGAGAATATAAACGACCTTCAAGTTAATCCCGTCGATTATGCTTCCTGTAACATATATCGAATCGTTTAAAGTCGTCGTGACGTCACGACCGGGTTAGCAAAAATGCATTATAACCGATAAAATAACTCGTTTCGTAGATAGTTTAGTTTAATTGCGACTAAAACGGCCGTTATACGAATGAGGGATTCGTCGGAGAAGAGGCGCCCATAAACCATTTCGGAGTCTTCTTCCAGTCGTAAAACGATTTTCCGGACGGTGGCGAGACGGTCGCGGAAAATCGCGGAAAATCTTTATTAAAAAAACCGCGTGACGGATGGCTTTACTTTTTCGGGGAAAGTAATGCCGGCCCATCTGTACCCGTCGAAATAAGTCCACGCACGAACTTCTAATATGCAAGGGAAAATAATATGATTCGATTTCGGCGTGATGGCGGCCGATTTTCGATCGGAATCGATACAGTAGCGTACTCAATATCGGATTAAAAAACAACTAAAAAAAATATAATTAATATTACCTACTATTATTTTTAGAATAAGTGCCTCTTATGTTACAATTGATGGAACTGTTACTCGATTAAATTCTCTGATTTATTACCGGTTAGGCAACAATGCAATTTTTATTCGCTTTATCTCATTCTTTTAGGAAACACTCTGTATATGTGAATGTTTTATAAAGCAAGCACTATGATTTTATCAAAATTAAAAACCTTCTCTCTACATTACCAATCTGATAGAAAAGTAGGGGTTGTTTAGTAGTTAATTATTTCAAAACTTCCCTTCATAGAGTACTATACATTTTTGTTTAAATTGAAAGTGGTGAAAAATGCGATCGGGGTCGGGCGCCGCACATGATCGTGATTCGATTTGGGCGCGAGATAGCCCGGCGATTTTTGATAAATCCGATGTCCCCCGAGATACCGACCAAGCTTCGATGGAGAAAAGTATGGGTAATAGTTTCGCAAAAAGCCGCCATAAATCTGGGAATTCGATCTTGAGAGGAACATAAATCGCACCTGCGGATCCGAATTCGAAATAACGCCGCTCCCAGCTTTGTGTATATGTATCTACAATTCAAAAATCTAGTCCAACTGCGTGTATAATTGTTACTTTGTAACTGTTAATCAGTTTTCTTACACCTCTACATAGTGAAGTAACAATTTCGAGTGGTGAAAATTATAAAAAAAATCTGTTATAATATTATTTCTGTACGGGAAATACGCGAGCGATATCCTTTAGAGCCCGTTTTTCGTATAATACAATATTTATGAATGCTTTGAGCCCCAAATTGGAATTTATTTCTCTTTTATACTCTTGCCTCGGACAATTAATATTAATGGTCCGTTCTTTTTATCTCTGAAGAATAAACACAACGTAACTTTGTTAGTTTTAAAATTAAGCTCTAATGAAAGGAAGATATAGTGGATGAGTTGGATTTTTCCCTTCGGTAACTTTATTATCATCCTGCATGATAACTTCGACGTTTTATTAGCCGTAATGTTTCAGCTTGTTTATAAAAATTTCATCTTTACAGGTACGCGTTTTGCTCGAAGATATATGAAATAAGTTTTTGTCAAATCTATTCTAAAGGAGGACGTTTGCGACAGCATATACGGAACGATTTTTCTACAGTCGCATTCGAAGTTATGAAACCGATAAAATTTCACTAAGCTCACACTTTGGGAATTTTTGAGAAAGGTTCCAACGGCTATACACGGTATGGCAAAAGTAATATTGCCGTGTGTGTACTTTAGAGAAAATCCGGGCAATATCCCCTTTCGACTTCGGGAGTAATATCTCGGTGTTTTTATAGCGTTCGAAACCATATGACACATAGCGAAAGGGGCCGGGGCCGCCAATATCCCTATGCTAAGCTATGGAAACTACAAAAGGAAAACTCGCCTGAGATGAAGATAAAGTCGCCATTTTTTTCCCCGGAAATTTTATTGAATGTCGAAATTGATGAATATAAAACGCCGCATAAATAACTAAATTTGTCTAGTATTATACTAAAGGCTATTGAACTTATAAAGAGTAGTATAGAAAAGTTACACTTTAGTTCAATCAGGATTAAACCCAGTAATCTTTAAATAAAAATACAGCTTCGCAGTTCCATCCAGTAAAATTCTCACGTAACGCGTGCGGCTTAAACCGGAGGAAATCCCGATAAAAACCGCCGGTGTAAAGGAACAAAAATGCCGCAAATCTAAATCATATCCCCCGGAATCGATTATCGCTCCCCGGAGAGGACTCTCACACACACTCGTACACATCCACGAAACTTTAAAACCCTCCAAATCCCGTCTTATTAAAAACCACCCCTTCGCCCTCGACGGCTTCGCGGCCGAATCCCAGTTATGGAAGTTGTTTCGTATAAATATCGCCGGAAAGCCTTCAGATTTCTAAGAGCATCGACTCGAAAAGTACGCCCGACTTTTCGCCGACCCCGCAACAAATTTCCTCGCGCCCCACAACAAAACAACGCGTCCCATCGCCTCGAAAAGTTACTGTGTTTCGCGGTTTAAGAGCACCGCCCGCTCGAAAAACCGGCTCCGGCGACAGCGCCGATCCTCTTAAGGGGTACGTGGGCTGCGTTCCGCGAACGAGTTATATTCCCGTGGAAGTTACAAGGCGGAACATCCGCGCGGAATGCGAGAGCTTTCATAAATAACAATGGCAGGCAAGCGTGACCGAATCGAAAGAGCGCGGACCGAAAGGTGTTAGAGGAGGACTTATGTATAGGGAAGGGTGCACGTGTTACGCTAAAAATCCCGGGGTTCGAACATGCACGGCACGTTCGAGATGTACGCCGGCCTTCCACGCCGGACACGGGGGAATTTCGTCGCGGTTTTAATATAAGAAAAACCCGATTGATTTTGCTGTTGTATGAAAACAACCAAACGCTTCTACGTGGACTTGTTGCCGCTGGTTCGGAATATTAAGCAAAATAGAAAACTTTATACCACTAATCTACTAAACATTACACTTGCTACTTAATTAACATATACTCCGCACTTCTGCTAGGCTTATTCCTGCTGTGGTAGAGGTAATAGATGGGCACAAACCGGTTGGGCTACTCTTCGGCATTCCTCCATCGAATAGAAAACGTTCCTGGACGGGTTGCAGGAGCCGAAAACCATCGGTTGGCATTTGTGTTCCCAAACGTTCCATCGGTAAATGAGCTCGATGGCTTTGCAGTCCCTTTCGGTCTCCGCGGAGTCCTTGTATATGCTTTTCCAGCAATCTGAAATGAAAAGGAACGACGGGAAGGTTGATAAGATTTAATTAATTAGGCGTTTCTGGCGTGTTGTGTTACCTGCCGGGGTGAATTGGCGATGGTGGGGTTTGGCCCAAATGCAAGTGAAAATCGCGATGCAAATGATGCTGTATTGCATATTGAGTGGCTGTATTCGAATTATTTTTCAGCTTATTTGCGTTTAACTGATAACGAAACTCGTAAGGATATTAAAATAAAAACAATTAATTTTTATAGCTTTATTGAATTGTATATGGCAATAAAAAATATAAATTTAAAAATTTAAGTATTCTTTATGAAAAAAATATTGTTGTGAATTGTAAATACCGGGAAACTTTCGCAGGGATACGAGGGATAAACTTTATTTATTCTGCATTTCGAAATAAAACTTCAAATACCCAGGAAAAACATGTCAAAACTTTCGCGATAAGTTTAACTCGCGAAAAAAAATAACTGACAAATCGTTCTCTTGGTATTTATCCAACTTATCCCAGAAGTATTTTCCTCAAAATGTACACCAAATCCAGTTTTGTTAATCGATATAAATAATTGATTGAAATATATCGTTAAAGCTGCATATTATTAGATGCTGTTAGTTACGTTTAAATAACCTATTTAGATTCTTCATCGTCTTTTTATGGTGTAATAAAGGGGCAATCAAATTTATGCTAAATAAATTGCTGCTAATAAACAGAATTTTCAAAAATTCTTACCTATTCGTCCCTCTATCGACAACTGACATAATACAACTGTCATCGAATAACAGATTCCTGTAACAACCTGTCGAGTAAGTTAGCCGAATGACTTACTTACAAGAGGCCTACGTTTACGGTTTATTTACTACGCATTAATTTAATAAACGCTCGTATTAAATCTCTTGTTACGAATTAACCTGTCGCTAAAATCGATCCGTTTATTCGTTCTGTCCGTTAATTCGTAGCAAATAAAAATAAATCGGTCGGAAAAAATTTTGCGTGCGTGATCACGCAATGTTGTCAAACAAATTGTTTGAAATATGGCGGGTAGAATTCGTAACGCCCCCTTTTGACATTTCGAATCGCTATTTTCCGATATTTCTCTTAATTTACGCCGTTTTTATTAAGCGTACCGCGTCGATTCGATAGTACATTCGACCGGCGATCGAAGTTACTCGATAAACATCAATTCCCAGTAATTAAACGGCGCCAAATCGCAAATAAATCGCCATAACCTACAAACGAACCGGGCGCGCCGATTGGCCCGCAATTCTCCCGCCACTGTCGACCATAATGTTATTGTAGGTACCCCTCTAGTGCAACATTGATAAAACGCTTTGGTGGCTAATCGATGCTCTTCCGTCTTCGAACTCTTCGCGGTTCTTGATCGAGTTTCGCAAAGGTTCGCTTACATCGTTTAGGTTACGTTCCAGGCACGTCGGCTTGCGTTTTCGGGCATTTCGGGTCGTTTAGCGTCGAAAACGAGCACAATCTGGGATGGAGAAGCGCATAGAATTAGAGAAGCGTGGCAAAGATCCCGCGGAAGTGAGTATATTCACGATATATTTGTTGTTATTGTGCACATTTCGGTGTCGCGGTCGCGCTCCCGTTTTCGTTTTACGGGCGCCGTTTTCTCTTCAAACCGGCTTTCTCGAACGTTTAGATGCTAAATACAGTGCGCAGTACAATATGTACGATCGGTTTTTCGGGGTTTTAACGTTGAAATGCGACTGGGGATGTGTTGCTGTCACCTCCATGTCGGGCGAATGCACGCCGAATAACGCTGTTGTTTGTTGTTTTAGATCAAAGAACTTATCTTGGACAACTCCCGGAGCACCTCCATAGTGGGCCTGACGGCCGAATTCACCAACTTGGAAAGCCTATCGCTCATCAACGTCGGTTTAACGTCGCTAAAAGGCTTCCCGAAACTACCAAATTTAAAGAAACTGGAATTGAGCGATAACAGGTGATTTATCTTCTACATTCGTACGTTTCGATGTATTAATCGCATTCGTGGTAATTTTAGGATAGCCAACGGACTAAATTTACTAGAAACCAGTCCGAAACTGACCCACCTCAACCTTAGCGGCAACAAAATCAAAGATTTGGAAACGCTCGAGCCTTTAAAGAACTTGAAGAACCTCAAGAACTTGGATCTATTCAATAACGAAGCGACCACGGTCGAAAACTACAGGGAAAACGTCTTTAAGTTAATACCGAGCCTTAAGTATTTAGACGGGTAAGTCGAAATTTTACTACTCGATGGAACAATTCCCAACGAGACATTCATAAAATGGCACTTTACCTAAACTACACCGAATCCAGCCAATCACAGCGCTTCATTTCTACTAAATCCCTGCGTAGTGACGTCACTTCCTTAAATTCCAGCCTACTACTATACTCATAAGTGTCAAATTTGGTCCATATGAGCCGCTACATACACTTTATTAGCTCCTCGGCCAATTATAAATGGTGTTTTAGATATGACGAGCAGGACGGTGAGGCCGAAGAGGACACGGATCTGGACGAGGAGGCGAACGATCTGGACGAGGAGGTGAACGGCAACGACAGCGAGGAGGAGGGTTCGCTGGAGTCGGGCGAGGAGACGGGCGGTGTGAGCCTGGGGGCGGTGTACAACGAGCACCTCGACGAGATGACCGACGAGAGCGACTACGAGGCCATCGAAGACGAGGAGGACGAGGACGGGATCGAAGAGGAGGAGGAGGAGAGCACCGAAGAAGACGAAGTGACGGTTACTGATAGTACGGTCGATTTGTTTTTATTATTGGGAGGAATTGTAGCTAGTCGTGGAGTATCGTATCGTGTATGTAATGATTTTATTTTGTTTGCGTTTCAGTTTCGAGGGGAAAGAAGCGGAAACTCGAAGATGGGGAAGGTGAAAACTAAAATCCAGTCTGTGTGCATCATCAATAAGTAGTGATATATAAACAAAAAAATAAACAAACATTTTTATTACCGACCAATGAAGTGTCTCCAACTTGGTGAAGAAGAGACTTTTTGTTAAGTCGTCACCCCCTGGCTGTGGTTTCATACTTTACAGAAAAAAATAAGTAATAAATTTAAATTTTTTCCCGTTTTTAAAAAGAAGTAACGATTGCAAATTCTAAAACGATTTTTCGATATAAAATAATATGTGAGGGAATCCGAGGTGGGTTGTTATAGGGCGATTTTTTTATAGCTTGGCATAAACGTGCCATTTTCGGCATGCTTGCGAGTTTACATTCGTTTTTGGTTATTACATCGGAAATGTAAATTTACTTAAAAAATCGTTTTGATAGTACAAGAAATTTCTAAATGTAAATTAATGTTTTGTTTTAAATTTGTCCGATTGCAATCAGTAAATGTACATTTCTGGTTGTTTAGGTACATTCCTTTTGGATCGAATAAAAAATTTGTAATTTTTTTCAAACTGCACTGGTGATCAAATTCGCTGATTTCTATTGACTTGTTTTTAATGTAAATTTTAAATTGTTGAGGATAAGCTTGTAGTTGATCAAGGAAAAGTTGCAAATTTTTTTAAAATCTTGAATGCAAACTTGCGAGTTCGGAAAATGTACGCTTTGTTCAACAATGTTATACATTTTAGATATATATTGCACTCTCGCAATCCAACCGGGTTCGGATTAAAAAAGGGTAAAGTAGCAGCCAGAATTGTTTAAAAAAAATGTAAGAGTCAATGACGGTATAGTTATATTTTGTACATCCATTATTACATAATGTCTAGTAGTTTTTAGGGTGTTAACATTGCATATGGATTAAGTTATTGTTTTTTTATTGATCTTGTGTTATATCATCGATTTTCTCAAATTAAAATTTCTTAACATTGACCACAGACTGTTTTTTATGCGTTAATTCCCACCCCTGGAAATAATTAACAATTAAAACATAATACACAAATTTAATCAACATATCACCATGCACGTACATAAATAAAAATTTAAAACCGAGTATATAAAACAATTAAATAGATAAAATAATTCGACTACCCTAAATTTAAAAATACTCCATAAACTAAGCATCATTCAACAAGATTAAATATTCATCTAATACTAATGGATATTCCACATCAACATTTTATATAAAAATATTTCAATTGAATGTTTCCGCAGATACAATCTGCGAATTTATTTGCTATTGAGTAACGATTGAAGAAATTCATCGGCCTCTGAGCACCCACTCGTGTCCTTCGGGGGCGCATCATCGTATATGAGAGAATACAATTCCATCTTTTTCAATTCCACTTGCGTTTTGTAGTCCTCGGCCTCGTCCGAGGAGGATCGGGTGGTCTCTGCTCGCATAATACTCAATAGGAATTGTTCGTTATCAGTACAAGTCGCTTGTTTCTCCTCGTACTTAGTCTTATCAGCATTGTATTCTACTGTATCATCTGAATCACTTGAACTACTTTTAGTATCTGAAAAATCCCCTGTTTTTATCGTTTCCGTTCGAACCTCGCTTGTTCGATTTTCGGTAATATCATCATCGCTTTTACACGCTAATTTTTTCGTTCGATTTACTCTTTTACGTTTCACCTTATTAATTACTTCTGACTCGTCATCGGAGAGATCCGGTTTCCGTTTAAAAGACTCGCAATAATCCCAAGTAAGATTCAACCAAAAGTGGTGGTAATTATCGCGCATATTCGCGAAATTATCGTTGTCAATTCTGTAATTTAGAGAATTAAATATTTTTTTTCTTTCGAGGGAATTTATACGTACTCGAAAAAATCTTTCTTTCTACCGACGCATCCCTGTTGAACCCAATTTAGCATGTTCCATTGCAATTTCTGGTCAGGTTCGATCTGAAATTTCCCAAATTTATTGTTTTATCTCCACTATTTTACCTTACACTGTATAATCGGAATTTTAATTATTGCACTTACGTAGAAATTTCTCCTGGTTAAACCTACATGAAAGTCTCCTTTTAGTTTCCTAATAATTAACTTATTAGCTACCCTGTCAAATTTATCTATAACTATCGTAGATAATTTGTAATTGACGAGAACTTCCACGAGCTTAATGTTAGTGAACGATATGAGGAAGATTAGAGGTTCTTGTTGAGGGCTCTCTTCGGGTTGAGCTAGAAATGATATTTGTTAATTTAAATTGCATATATTTGATACCTGGAAACTTACAATTCTGATCAATTACGACGGTTTTTATTTTAACCATTTTCTTCAAAATTTCTTTCCATTTTTCTAGGGTATGATCAGGTGTGATTATTAAAACGAAAAAAGGTTCTGCAGGCTTCGACCATTCCTTCAAAGTTAAATAAAGGAATGTGGAGATTTGAGTTTGAAAATTAAACCCTCTTTCTTCATTTAATATCGAACCCTTAAACTTTTAAAATACATGGAATCAGTACTGCTTTGCAAGAGCATAATACTTACACCGCTTTTAAAATTTTGATATAAAAAATTAATTGGAAGTACATCCTCGTTATTTAAATGACGTGTAACAGTTTCATCGATCAATGGACCTTGATTTCCACGACCAACATAATTGGGTTGATTAGAAATCTGCAAAATCACGAGCATAAATTAATTCATATACTATTTACATATTTTTGTACTTGCCATTTTATCCTGTTAATTCGACACAATCTCGTTAAATCGGGACAGCACGTAGAAGATCATCAGTAAAATGTATAAGACTTTTATGTATAAAATCGTAACAAAAACGGAAAAACTCGTTTTCGTTAAATCACCGTCGTTTTCAAAAAAATTGTGCCCTTCAAGCATTTTTCTTTATCATCAAATAATTTCCGCATAACCATAAGAGAAAATTTAATTAAAAACAGTACACTTAATTGCTTCTATTTCCAGATTTTGATTTATGTTTCTTTTTATTTAGTAGCACTAATTAAAATTTGATAAAAAAGTAAATATAAACGTTACCTCCTCAAACGTCACTCTACTGACATAAGTGACATTGACAATTTGCCTCAATGGCCTCATCTTTAACAAGTCACTAGCCACATTATAAAAGATAAAACAAATAAAATTGCTTCAAGTGTTAATTTAATTAATTTTTACTACAATGAACTTACGTTAATAATGTTTCGTAAACTTATAATTCAATGCATCAAAATTTATAATTCGATTTTACACATGTGACTAACTTCAGTTTCACTATTGACATTGACATGTTTTTGACATTGAAAACTAACTTAACCGCAGTGTCTGCCTCTGCCAGCCATGTTGACCTGTAATGAGACTGAATTTTCAGACTTTCGGTAGAACTTAAGGGTGCATCTAATTATTAAAGGAAAACATTATGCCCAAGTGTGATCTTAAAACTAGATACATACCAGCTACTTTCGCATGGACGTTGCTCATCGCTGCCACTTCTTTATTTTTTTACTATCCGTAAGTTATTTATGTATGTTTATACGTCCAAATTTAGACATTAATATATTTCTGAATATAGAATATTTCGGAGAAAGGACGTTCGCTTGTGAGCGCTCGTTCGTTGATTCTGTCAAATTTACAAAATCGATAGAGGCAATTGTAATTTTTAGGGCCCAGTATTACCTACTAGATCACCCATGGGTTCCTGCGTGCCAAGGTGTTATTACCTTCTTCGTTTTAGCAAATTTCACACTAGCAACGTTCATGGATCCGGGAGTCATACCCAAAGGTAAGAATAAAACGATCGAATCGTTCAGTTTCCCGTTACAAATGTATTCGTGTTGTGTTTCAGCACCCCCTGACGAGGATAGAGAAGATGATTTCCGGGCGCCCCTTTACAAGAACGTCGAAATAAACGGGATCATGGTGAGAATGAAATGGTGCGTTACCTGCAAATTTTACAGACCGCCGAGGTGTTCCCATTGTAGCGTTTGTAACCATTGTATTGAGGTAAGAATTATTTACGAACAGGTATTCGATTCGGAAACTTTAATCATTCTAGACGGTGTAATGTTTAAAAAAATATTCCGTATGATAAATTGCAGATGCATTTTTTAGCGTTGATTACGAGGCATTTATTAAATTGCGATTTTTTTGGGTGACCGTTAACTCTTTTTTTTTTTAAATTCATGCATGATTTAATTGTCGTACAAAGTCCTCATCGAATGAATATCGCTATTATTCCTTATTCAGTCAGCCGTGAGGTAATAATAAAGTGTCGTTCAATTACGCTAACCTGTTTACCTAAATAAACGTTAATTACTCGCTTTATAAAGCAATAGTTTTTTTTTAATTATGTATTTTTTTGCAGACCTTCGATCACCATTGCCCGTGGGTGAACAATTGCATCGGCAGAAGGAACTATCGTTTCTTCTTCTTCTTCCTCATATCATTAAGTTTACACATGATCAGCATATTCACGCTGAGCCTCATCTTTATACTAAAGAGTGGAGTAAATTACACGAAACCTCAGCCGATTATTGCGTATCCTTTTTTTACACTATCGCTACTACACGAGGGCAGGGTGAAAAGTTCTCAGCCTGATACACTGAGGGCGCTACAATCGGCAAGAATTTCTTGTTGCCCCTTTAGAAGATTTATAGTTAATTCTAGGACTGTTTAGAACCGTTTAGAACCCACCAGAAGCATTTAAAACTGTCTAGAATCACTGAGAACGCTTCAGAATTAATTACGACTGTTTAGAACGCTCCAGAATCATTTAGAACCGTCTCGAATTAAAGATTTCGACTTAATATTAATAATTATTAAGAATTAATAAGAAGAATAATGTAGATTTTCAACTGAAAATCGCGGTCTTTCATTGCCGGGCCGGGAACTTTTCAGCCGATCCTCGTACATTACAAGTCGCTTGTCAAATAAGTTCCTTAAAGTGCCGCATCAGTATGGTATTGATGGCTCTGGTGGCGCTACTGTCGATTCCGATATTCGGTTTGACGGGTTTCCACATGGTTTTGGTATCCAGAGGGCGCACCACGAACGAACAAGTCACCGGCAAATTCAAAGGCGGCTTCAATCCCTTTTCGAGGGGCTGTTGGGACAATTGTTGTTATACGCAGTTCGGACCGCAATTTCCTAGGTAAATAAAACTGTCTGGTTACAACTCTCTTAATGATATGAATTTATTTCTTTTTCGCAGTCTGATGAAACCGTTGAAGTATAACGCGAAACGAAAACATTGTCACCACGGACCCATAGCGACCATTACGAACGAAAGTCAAGTTAAGACGTACATGGATAACAGCAACGGAGTTAGAAACATCAACTCGAACGCTTATAATAAGGTTAATAACAAATCAATTTGTTTTTTCCTTCTATGAACTATAAGTTTATGTACTTTGACAGTTAACAGTTGGATAATCGTAGAACGATATTGACATATGACAGATGGATAACCTGTTGGTTATGTGGTTGCCATTTCACTGGCTAACTAATGTAAACCAACATTTTAGTCGCCGTAAAGATGAACGCAGATTGGTTTTTGTAACTGTAATTAAACAGACGAGAACATAACAATTTAATTAAACAAAACGGATGAGTTTTATGAAAACGAGTGAATGACAATTGACAGAGATGACAGACAGAGTGACAAGAGTGAGACAGAGAAACAAAGTGACAGAAGACATAACAAGTGACAATTCGTAGTGACAGATTAAATTCTAACAAACAGGAAACGCTACGAATCATAAAGGATAGGCTTGTGATACTTTGTCGTATGTGGTATTTAATATTTTTTTGTGTTGGATAGATGTCTCCGGGTAGGGACGGATGCGAATTAGACATGGAACCGTCTGCTTCCCAATCGCAAGACTGCGAGCCGACGCCGCCCCTACAAAGGCACGGCTCCAAAAGCAATTTCTTCCTTCCGTCGGCGGCTAATGCGATAGACGGAGAATCGCCAAGTCGCGTAGGGTAAGTACAACGATCATAAAGGACATTCGCGGTCGCTAGGCAATGACGTCACAAGCCAACATGTTGCAACGTTGCCGGGTTGAAATGAAAATCTTGATGTGACAGATATTTTTAATGTAAGGTTATGTTTACTTTCATTGTTTCGAAATTAAAAAGAAGGAATGCATTAGGCTGCAATCCGATTGACGGGAGAGGTGTTTATTTGCAACGCTTCGCGACCCTATAAAACAGAAATATACATTTAAAAAACTATTGATCGGGAATTAATCGGGAAAAAAGGGCCTATATCGTCCCGTTCCCTCCCAAAATAGATCGAAAAACACCGAAAATCGCGGGAGAAACTGTCGATAAATGTACATAACTCGCACGAAAAACTATCTAGAACGAACGAAAAAACACAAAACCTACTCGTAAACTAGAAAAAATACAGGAAAATCGCGCAACAACAACAAATTGTTGTCATAACCTGTCAAAGTGTCAACCACAAAGCGCCGCTAAATATTGCGAATGTTGAGACTAAATGCATGACAACATCGCCTTCGACTGTCAACTACGCGTCGTAAAATTCCCCTAGCCAAATGGGAGAATTAACATTGACACTAGGGAAATGTTGAACTGCGTGGAAATTAATGACATCGTCTAAAAATGACTGATTTGATGACTAAAATGAAGATTTTCATTTCAACCCGGCAACGTTGCAACATGTTGGCTTGTGACGTCATTGCCTAGCGACCGCGAATGTCCTATATCGATTTTCTATACTAATCGAAGTAAAGTCTGTCATACAGCCACCAGCAGGCGCCCGTTTCGAGACCTATGGCGCACTATTCGCGCAGCAGCCCCCATCCGAGACCGCGGGGCCTCGACGCTGGGCGGTGCGCGACGCCCGACGCCCTCGGCGCCCCGCAGCGCCCCTCGCCCACCATGCAGCAACGGATGAAGGCGGTGGGCGGCGTCCCGACGCCTCTCACGCTCTCGACGCCCATCAGAAGGTGAGCGTTTTTTTGCGGTGGATGTTTGGCGAGGTCGGCTCGTTATAGAGTACACGTGACGTCACGTATTACGAGCCTGCTGAGTTAAAGTTGGTTTTGTGCACGTAGAATGGCGAGTTTAGTTTTGGTATTGAGCGATTGAAGGTGAATATTTTTTATTGCGTAATTTTGATGTGATTTTTTTAGTTATAAGAATCGGTGGTGGAAATTTTGGAAACAAATACCGCCCGATGAGTTTTTTGCAGAATCGGATTTGTTAAGTTTAAATGGCAACGTAACGCAGAGTGCGAACGGATTTGATCGGAGAGAAGATCAGATTTAATCATTAATGTGTAGTTGATGAATAAAGATCGTTTTTTTTTGTTGGATTTCGGTGCATTTTAGTCGCTTTATTATTGATATTTCACCTTTAAGATACTCTCTATTTTTGTCGCTAACTTTTTATTTTATTTTTTTTTCTTGCCTGTAGGTAATGCATGCACGCGTAATTGATGGAAATCTACCTCTGGGTTTGATAGAGTGATGAAATTATCTGATTTTTCGGTATTTTTGTTTGAAATTATAAACTCTTTTACGATGATCTGTTGAGCTTGTTACAAAAATTACGGACAATTTCGGAAATTCACCGGACAAAATGTGAATTGTTTGTGTTTTTTTTATTATTATTGTAGTTAGTAGCTATGTGATTGATATTTTTTGCGTTTTTAGTTCAATAACATGCACAATTTTAATATAATAATCGAATTTACTCGTTATATTGAATTGTTTAGAAATAATTTTAAATCATTTCTAATTGTCTTCTCGAACAATCAAGTTTATCTTGGTTATTTTTTCTATTTATTTCTGTAGTTGCGCTTCATTTGGATTTTTGTATTCAACTGTGCATATCTTGTCGAAATATTGTACATAATCGAACTAATTCAACTCATCTAATGCGCTTAATTGAACTTTTCAAGTGTATTAATTAATAAATTCGAATTAGCTTAGTTTGTAAATAGAAATCGAGATCAATTTGTATTTAATTTTTAACATGTGTTCAATAATAAAAAGACATGTTCACGTTATTCTGAAGCAATTCGAAAAGTTGCGTTCGATCAACTTGATATGGCAACACTGTTGTACAAATTTGTGACATTTCCTATAGATTAACATGAACATAATTACAGTCGGTGCAAAACAAATATCAATGCACGTCACTACTGTTGGTAGACACTGACTGTCAAGTTGCATAGTTGCCGTTGTCAATCGATCGGTACTTTTAATTTTCAATTTCTTTTTCTTTTTTCTAAGTTTACTAACCTCAACTAATAAAGGCTATTCAGCCGAACAATCAAGAAATGAGAATTTTTTGCGTAGTTGTCTTTTCGACATGTTAGAAGTGAGACAATTTGAGCTCTAAATAATTCAGATTCAGAAGTTTTCTCAGAAATTTCACTAAATACTACAAAAAATATAAATTTTTTTACTCGCATTGTTGCAATATATTTCAGATGATAAAGAAATTTGATGATTAATTATAGTGGGCCTGAATACGTTTAGAAACGTGAAACAGGTACCCCTAATTTTCAATTTACTCTTGTCATTTTGACAATTTTAGAAAATTCTTAGATTTTGTAAACTCTACATAAGTTCGGCAACACTGCCTACTTGTGACGCAGTTAATCATAAGTGACATGCATTGATAATTGTTGTGCACTAACTTTACGAACATAATTTGTGAAATTTTGATGTAATTTATCGTAATTATCACGGCGCATTTTTACATTACAACCCTCAAAACGGAATCCACACATTCCCCCACTCACATCATTTTTTTTCGTTCCGCAAACGCCAGCTTCGTTCCGAATTTTCATTTCTCTTTAACAAAAAAAAACCACAAAACAAACCGCAGCTTTGCTTGTGCGTCGACTCGTTATTTGGCTAGTAAGTAGTTGCTTGTGCTCGTTTCGCAGATCTAACCCAAGTACTCCGACTCAGCCCCGCCGGCCGGACTTCATCGGCGTGGTATACCCCAATCAGACCCTGCACTACTACGACATCCAGCACCAGGACGGCCCGGCGCCCCGACAGATGATGATCGCCCACCAGGGCAGCCCGCAGCGCCGCTTCATGTCCGAGGGCGAGCTGGTCAGGCAGGAGGCCCAGCTGAGCTACCCGCGATCCAACAACACCGTCGACAACATCAGAGAATTAGCGAATTCGCCGCAACGCGGGGTGTACATGTGGAAGGAGACGTCTCCGGTGTACCCGCCGTCCGATTTCTACCGCTCGAATCCCACCAGCCCGACGCAGCAGTACGGCGGCGCGCCGCCGCCCCCGGCGCGCGCCTACCACCCGGCGATGCGCGGCGGCGTGCCGGTGTACCCGCCGCCGCAGAGCCCGCTGGTGCACCGGAAACAGCCGGCGGCGGCGCCCGCGCCGGCGGACAACCGGCGCAGGCCGATGTCGTTCGTGCGCGCGCTCGAGATGTCCGATACGGAGGGGGCGCAGTGCGCGCAGCACGCCAATCAGCGGCCGGCGACGCCCGATCGGGCCAGCGTCTACGACATGAACTACGAGATATCGGTATAGGGAAGGTGTCGGCACTCGCGCTACGCCGATTGAGTGCATTTTAGTTTCTCTGCATCAGAGATTCGAGTAAACATTCCGTTTACTGTGTGTGGTTCTTCTGTTTATTATTATTAATTCGTTTTTCTTCTATCGGTTACGCAAACCCACCGGACCTAACACCTTTAGATGTTGTACAGTTGTTTTGGCTTGAATGGGGTAACCTCGTATACTTATAAACTGCTAATAATGGGCTAAAACCGAAGCAAACATTGTACTGTGATGTGCTTGCTTATTTATGCGCATGAACAAGGGAAAAACGCGTTTTGATTTCTGATTGGCTGCTTTTGACACTTGCAAAATAAGGTTATAAAACACAATTAATCATATACCTATTACTACTATACCGCTAATAATGGTCTAAAACCGTAGCAAACATTATACTGTGGTGTGCTTGCTTATTTATGCGCATGCTCAAGTGAATGATTTCTTGATTGGCTACTTTTGACACAGCAAATGAAACGTCAGAAACGTGCTAGCTTTTATTTTGGTATATTTTTTGATATATTTTTAAAATCGACTTCGACTTGTCTGTGTAAATATGGCAGGTTACCGAATTTAAACACGATTTCAAGTATTATTTTCCTTCTTTTCTTTTTAGGCCTCGGCTACTCGCTTTTGGTCCTTTTAAAATTAACGCGCTTGCGTATAAACGACTAAGCACACCACAGAGGGTCGGATCTCTCTCTTTAATCGCTACGATTTTCTCTCATGGAATGGTATGGGAGTTAGCAGTATATTAGTTAATAGGTATATGCAATTAATTCAATCAATTTTAATTCGAAGAATTTAAGATTTTTAAAATCAACAAGTATAAACTTTTAATGAGATAATTCAAAATTATTTTGAAATGATTTGAAAGTGATTACTATTGGTCCTTTTAAAATTAATGCGCTTGCGTATAAACGACTAAGCACACCACAGTGAGTCGGATCTCTCTCTTTGATCGCTACGGTTTTCTCTCTCTCACTCATTGAAGAGATAGGCAGTTATCAGTGTAGTAGTTTATAAGTATATGAGTAACCTCGTGTGTTCATACAGAACACCCTGTATATGGGATGTAATGCTTTATGTCATCTTTTCATTATGATCGTACTCAACCCTCCATTATGTGGATATGGTTTTTTTTTATTTAGTTTAATTGTTTTTTTGGCGAAAATATTGCGCTGAGGTTGGGGCAGCTGGAGGGAGAAATGGGCGATGTAGTCGTTGGTTTTTATCCCGAGAAATTGTATACAGTATAACGCGCATTTTTTTATCGTTTATCGATGAATTTTTTGAGTGTGAATAACATTGGTGCTAACGTAACAATGAAATAAGTAAAATGTACATAATGGTTTCGAGTATTTATTCGCGTTCGGTTAATTGATTCATTATTGTGGAAGGGGTTTTTATATTAGATGTACAGAGTCTTCAAAAACGTTTGATTACCACGTGACCTAAAAATGTATGCGACCCAAAGTGCACTGTTGTTGTTATTTTCAAGAAATGTCCCTATTTTAAATACAAATCAACACAGTGGCGTAACAACATTAATCCACTAGGTTGTTATTTTTACCTATCATTAATGTAAAGTTATGTTGATACACAGTTTTCTTTAGGAAAAGCACATGAAAAACTAGGAAAAATAAACAAAACACGTTATTTCTACCAAGATTAAAATCAGAATGATGCGCCCCGTGCGCTAATGATCGAGTTGACATTGACTTGACATTAATGACAGTTCTAGTAACTTTTTTTTGTAATATTTTGGGTACCAACATAAACATAACAAATTTACTAAGTTCATTTCGAATTTAGTCACGTGGGAATCAATCATTTATGAAGACTGTATAATAAAAGTGTGAGTTTGTTGGTTACTTTTCGTCTCGGATTTATATACAGTTATATTTTTTCCACATATCACTGTACATATAGGACTTACGCTTGAACATATCAATTTTACAGCGAATCGTTTCGTTTTTAATTAAAAAAATACCAAACACGTATATTAGTATGGCCTTACCCTTGTTGTGTGTACAGCCAATCGATGGTGCTATGAAATTACTTACATTAACGAAACGTGGATTTATTTTGTGTATTTCGATTGCTGGCTGCTTAAAAAAATGTAATATACTAATCATGTTAATAACAGCTTCGTTTTCTTCATTTATTTTGTAGATATTGTTTAACTAATTTATAGGAAACTGATTTTAAACGGATAAAAATCGACTACATCCCGAATTTGTTGTTTGTAGAGTCCCTTAGGAGAGGCTTGTGTTGTTTTGTTGTACGTTTTTGTATTTTATTATTATTTTGTTTTATACTCGTATACGTTTAGTCTTCTAATAACATTGCAGGAGTCCTAATTATTTTCAATTACTACTTAAGTGTACATTAAATGCGCGCATTTACGTTTCAACAGTCTCGCTTTCAACTTTCAAATATTTCTTTTGCACGTTGTTAATTCGTACACGAAATTTCCGCAGAAGATTCGAAATGGATCCGTTTATACATATTTTCATCGATACTAGTCAGGTCGGTTTTTTTAGTAAATTAAGGTGATGTGTGTGAGTACCGGTACAGCAGGAAAGGTTGCGGGAAAGCGCTTCATTGATCGATCAGCAGGCCCGAGTCGGAGATTTGTCACGTACACGAGCACTTAAAGTGATCCGTGGAAATGCTAATGAGAGGAAATTAGGGGCCCGATGCCCTGCGTTGTATCCAGTTGAAGACTCGTCGAAAGTACAGTAGAACGAGCGTTACATTTCTTTTTATGTCTCTGCTTTAGAGGCTTCATTTTCGTTGCATTTCATCCTTTTTCGCAATATTTTCATGTATTTACAGGATGCTTCGGGATGTGAATATTTGGATGATTTTAAGAAGAAAGTTTATGTCGATATATGTACTATGTGTAGTTTTCGAGCTACAGGGTGTTACAGTTTTAGAAAAAAAATAACTTTTCTATCATCATTTTCTTATTACTTCAGATATTTTTATGAAATTTCGGACGAGGACGTTACTGGTAATAGTAGAAAATTAATTTTTGTCCCCCAAAAAAAGTGTTTCTATGGATGGTGGGCGCCTACCAAATTTCAACAAAATATCAAAAACGGTCTCAAAATGAACTTGGGAAAAATTGTTTTGGTTTTTATTTTTTTACGCGAAAACGGCGCGTTGTACGAAAGTAAGTTATGGGACCAAATTTGCTCCAAAATAACCGAGGATTTTAAAAATAATTTGAGTTTTTAGAAAAACCAGTGGCGTACCATTTTTTCTTCAAACGTATTCAGTTCAAACTGGTCACTGGTAAAAATTTTAAAAAATCTTTGGTCTAAAAAAATGCTCCTTAATATTTAAAAAGTGGGTACAAAATTTCATAAAAATATCCGGAGTAATAAGAAAATTATGATATAAAACTTATTATTTTTTCTAAAATTGTAACACCCTGTAGCTCGAAAACTAAGAGATTTAGGACATATACTCATACAAACTTGTCTTCTTAAAATCACCCAAATATTCACATCCTGAAGTATCGGCACTCAATTAACACCCTGTATAACTATAATGAGTCACTATAATGTACCGAGTGGATTTTTATTACCAGGCAAAGTGCATTGTTGACTTCCTTAATATAATTCTCATTAACGTCTGGTCAACGGCCGGGATTAATTTAATAAAATCGCCATTTCAATTCGCACTTAATCTTTCTCTCGTTGAAGTTTTACTGCGCTCTCTCGAGGTTCTTCTGCTTCAAAAAACGCGGATTTTTCCTGCTGTATAGGGTACAAACCGGATAACGATTGACCAAAATAGGCTGAATAAATTCTAAACAAAATTAAAATTAAACCTGCTGCAGCAGGAACGCGATTATGTATAGTCGATATTGAAATTGGTTTGGGTTAGTACTAAGTACGTACTCTATTATTGTATTCTCTATTATTTATTGAAAGATGTTCGCTGCGGTGTGGCCGAAATGTCACGTTAAAAGTTTCGCAATAATATATGTAGCTCGTGACGTCACAGCCACGTTAGCTCGAACACAGTATATGAAAGATTTTTTGGCGAAAGTGTGTAGTTTGATCACATATGATTTATAGAAATAACTATTTATTTTTCGCGAATTTTACGGCGGAGTGGATTTATTAGATTATTTTTTTTTGAGGTGTTGTTTAAAAAAAATACTATTATATGTAAAAGATTTTCTGCTGATTATATTAATATGCGAGGAAACTGTTGCGTTATTTTATATAAATTTTGTACTGATCTTCCTCATTTATTTGTAGGTAGTGTAAATTTTCTCGAAAGTAAATTGTACCGAATTAAATTTTAATTTATACAATCGAGTTTTCATTCTCCAGTACACCTGTTGTGGTCAATTAAAATTCAACTTTATGAATAAATAAAATGTATTAGTACAATAATTTATGTGACATCATCGATATATGAGCTGATTGAGATCAATACGGGGTTATTGAAACTCTTTTGCATCGTCAAGACCGCCTCAGGCTGTTCTTGTAGCTCCTGCACCTCCTGACCAATTCGAATTTCCTGTAGCGCATGCAATGCCATTGCGGCACTTGGGCCATCACCTCGAGGGCCTAAAAATTACATTATTTTTCTTATTTTAAATCTAAATCTTCTGTTCTAGACAGTTCTAAATAATTCTGGAGCGTTTTAAATGGTTCTAAATAATTCAAGAGTGTTCTAAATGGTTCTAGATAGTTTTAAATGCTTCTGGAGCTTTCTTAACGATTCTAGACAGTTTTAAATGCTTCTGGAGCGTTCCAAATGATTCAGAAGTGGTCTTCACGACTATATGGAGCGTTCTAAATGGTTCTGAAGCCTTCTAAACTATTTTAGACAGTTGTAGATGATTCTAGACAATTTTAAATGCTTCTGTAACGTTCTAAATTGTTCTAAATTTTAAATGGTTTTGGAGCGTTTTAAGACAGTTCTAGATGATTCAAGCTGAGAACTTTCCACCCTATACCCTTTAGCAATATAACTCACGTTATTGGGCTTTCCCACGGGGGAGCAATTCGAATATTGCCAACTGGAAACCAACCAAAAAATGGCGTACACTATACATGATATGTTGCACATCTTCATCTTGCTGCTTCGTCGAGAACACTGAACCAATTGGCGCAAAATCACCCGATAAAAAGTGTTTACTGCTCGACGAAATGCAGTCCACTAATGGGATAAGTACGGTTTTATACGTGCGTATAAGAGCCGGGCGATAATGCAAGGGAAAAATCGGCTGGGATTTAATAGATGGAAACATTGAACTTAACTTGTTAGACCTACTTTCGGCGCGATTACGCGCTTTTTGGCCTACATTCGGTAATTGACCAAAGGGAAAGAAACGCGAGGGACCTTCGAGGAAGATTTCTTCAGTGGAAAATTACAATTGCAAAACATCCTTGATTGCGTTCGAATGGTGTACGTGTGTTTTCCAGGGGAAAATTTACTAATGTGTACAGGGTGTTAATTAATTGAGTGTCGCTACTTCAGAATGTTAATATTTGGTTGATTTTATGAAGAAAAGTTTATATCAATATATGTCCTAAACCTTTTCGTTTTCGAGCTACAGAGTGTTCAAATTTTAGAAAAAAAAACTTTTCTATCGTAATTTTCTTATTACTCCGGATATTTTTATGAAATTATTTTTTTCTAACCCTGTAGCTCGAAAACTAAGAGGTTTAGAACATATATTGATAAAAACTTTTCTTCTTAAAATCACCCAAAATCACCCTGAAGTATCGGCACTCAATTAATAACCCCGATATTATGGTAAATAAATCGACTTGTATTCTCGTGGTATAAATAGAACTTTATCGATTAATTTTCTTATTTTAATAAACCCAATTCCATTCATTTCAACTTCTACAATCGATAAAAAAAACACCTATCACGACACAACTCCTCGATAGTCCCATTATCAATGCCAGTCCTACGAAATGTTAGCCAGTACAAAACTCGCTTTCGGGAATTGATTACTTTGGACTAGACTCGTGAGAGTGGTGTGTTTCGCAAATAAGAAATTATTTGCACCTTCAAAAGTACAAGTAAGTTTATTTATTTTTTCGAGTCGGGTTTGTTTTCTTATAAATTTCGTCGACCATGAAAAGACAGGTTAAATGTGGGTCAGAAACGCTTGATAAGGTCGCGCAATATCCCTATGAAATTTTCAATTCCATATCGCTGTTTAGTTCACAATTAATTTATTTCCCCAAATATTGGGCGTGAAGCGTGAAATGATTGGTGTACCTACGCAAAAATTGTATGTAATTAAAAGCATCTTATTAGGTTTCTACAGGTATTAAATTAATTGTAATTAGATATTTCAACCACAAACATAATTAATTAGCGTAATCGTTCATCGGAATGGTAATAATTAATGAGCAACCCAGCGATTGAAGGTAACTAATCACAGGTAAAATTTTCAAGGTTCCATCTAATTTCAAATTTAATATCAACGCATTTTAATCCGCCGAAACGGAAACACAAGTTCCAATTGAGCGATTTATTTCCTATCCAATCGTGGGAAATTTATTCACACGCGATTTTTCTTGACTGAAAACAAAACTCGTGGAGTTTTATGGAGATTTCAATTTTTGTGGTCGTTCGAATTTTCCGTGCGAGTTTTTCGCAATGAAATGAAATCGCACGAGTCAAGGTAACTTCTACATGTATTTCTAATGAAATGGCCGCACATTAAGCGAGAAACATGCCATTTAATCGTCGGCTCATCCTACGAAAAAGCCGCGCCGGGCCGTTTGCACAGCAAATGCGTGATCCGACTTATCGCCTAATACAATACAATTGTCCTTAATTCGTACAACCTCGTCTTAAGTACGTACAGGCGCGTTCGCCGCACATGAAGTACGGAAAATCATGTGACAAACCGATCCGACGGTGTCGAGCAAACGCATTCGCGAGCAGCTGTGCTGTAGGTGTGGTAACTCCGCGAGAAGGCGATTTGAATTTTCGAAAGTTAGGGGTAAGTTTTAAAGTCTCCTGCCTTTTGATTTTTTTTCGTGTATCGGAAATTGCGGGTGCGCCGAACGAATTTTTGATCTACCATTTTTTATGTTCTCTGTATAATTAGTTTTAATTATTATTTCGGAAAAATCCTACAGCGCGTAAGCGCTAAATTTAATTCCGAATTTATTGTGTATGTAATCAAATTCGTGTAGATATTGGAATTGTTTCAATCAATAAAAATCTAATCGATCAATTTCAAAACTGATTTCGTTGTAAATCACATGATAACGCGCATCCTGTGTTCTTCGATGATTTTTTTTCAAGATAAATTCAATGGGTTGTCGCTTTGTTATTAGACTAGCAAAATGATAAAATATGTGCTCAAAAATTAAATTCAACAATTACGCTTAAATTGCTCGATTCAAGTTAAGCAATGTTTGCGCTCGAATTATAAATTCTAAAATTACTCGCACAATAAAAATTGAGCGAAGAGAAAAATATTTGTCGAAGAATACAATATTTTACTTGTGATTAAATTAAATTAAATTCGAAGGTGATGTTACAAAATCTATAAAAAGATTCTACACAGAAACAATAAATCTCGATTAATCGCTCACAAAACTAGGTAGCAGTAAAAATTAATCATTAGATAAATTTATTATCACAAATTCGAAATCCAATTAATTTTTTTTTTGTTAAACCTGCCCAATAAATAAACAGGACATCGACTAATTATAAATCTAATTTTTAAACGATTAACAGACCGAAATCGCCTGAGTTTCGGCCGTAAAATTATTTTTACTCACAATAGAACCCAAAATAAAGGTATAAATTAATTAACAAACAAACAATATAAAAACCTTATCGCAGATTCGACTAGATTTAACAAAGTCATGTCATGATTTTCGAATAGTGCTCACGTGACCTCACGCTCCATAAATTCTGAATTGTTATCAAATGAAAATCCGTCGCCTATACTCGAAAAATCCCAGAATTAATTCACGATTAAAATTTTGCATTTACTCGATTTTGCAATTAAACAGGTCCAGATAGGAGATTTTAGAAAATACATGTAAACTTCTCACTCTTTATATTCCAATTTCAGAGTCCGCCTCTGATAATAATTAATAATAATAGTGATTTAGCAGCATCGCGAATTCCGTAAGTACTCTGTTGAATAAATTTTAATTTTCGGAAAACTTGGTACAATAATAAATTACAAAAATCAACCTTGAAACTTACCTACGAGGTATTCGATTAATATTTACAATGAAGCAAGTGCGCGAAATAATTGCAAATCGCGCTGAGATGTTCCAGAAGCCCATCACAGGTAGAAAAAAGCGCCGTTTCGAATAGAATTCGGCCTGGAAATAGTTCGTTTTGCGGCAAATTAGTTTCCGTATAATTTCGAACTCACCGAAGGTTACTCCGTATTTTTAGATAAAAATTATTGTTATTACCTCCTTGCGTTCAACAATTCCGATAACTACATAAGCGATAGGAGCGAGGGGTCAACTTACGCAAAACTGCCGATAAATCGTCTTCTGGTAACGAAACTCCCCGAGAAACGCGAGAGAGTCCCGAGCGTTATTATTTTCCCGTAACGCGAGCGACTTATTTTTTTTATTTATTAGTAAGTAACAAGCACAATTTGCATAGCGATGTGAATTATTCATACGCGCATAATTTTTTATGAAATTCAACTAGCGAGCTACCTTTAATTATTTGTTGTGAAGTCCAGCGAATTAGTACCTATTTTCATCTCGAGGTGTGCAGGTAGAAATTTAATTTGGCGCGTTGTAGGTAGCGTGAAAAACCCTCCGAAAAAATGGGGGCGATGTTCAGAAGCGAGGAAATGGTCCTGGCCCAATTGTTCGTCCAGCCAGAGGCCTCTTACTACGCCATATCGGAATTGGGCGAAGCCGGTTGCGTGCAATTTAGAGACGTGAGTACCGCGAATTCGCGCCAATAAATCGGTAATTTACGGTTTGTTTCTCTCAAGCTCAACGAATCGGTGAACGCCTTCCAAAGGAAATTCGTCAACGAGGTGCGAAGATGCGACGAAATGGAGCGGAAGCTGCGCTACATCGAGGCGGAGGTGCGCAAAGACGACGTCGCCATTCCGGACGTCAGCGAGCTGCCCAAGGCGCCCAATCCGCGCGAAATCATCGATTTAGAGGTGAGAATTTCCCCCAACAACCCGTACAACTATACCATGCACAATAACATTACTTTAGATAAGCGCAATGTCGTCGCAGCGCAGCTACAAATTGCATGGAATTTTTTTCGAATCGACCTCGAAAAACGAAACGATAATGATATTTTTTTTCTACACCTAACTATTTATTGCACTCGTACACTCGATAGTAAAGATAACTCCCACATTTATCGTCTATATAATTTTTAACCAACAACATTATATCTACCATATTCAAATACAATCTCCTAATGGAGAGTACACACGAAAATTCCATTCGGACCATCATGTATAAACTCGAATTTTATTTCCAATCCCGCAGGCGCACCTGGAGAAAACCGAAGGCGACATCAAGGAGCTGTCGGAGAGCGCGGTGAACCTCAAGTCCAACTACCTGGAGCTCACCGAGCTGCGGCACGTGCTGGAGAAGACGCAGGCCTTCTTCAACGAGCAGGACGAGGCGAACGGCATGTCCGAGCACAAGACGCTCATTCCCGCCGAGGAGCACAACGCCTCCATCAGGGGCCGGCTCGGCTTCGTCGCCGGCGTCATCAACAGGGAGCGCGTGCCGGCCTTCGAGCGCATGCTGTGGCGCATCTCCAGAGGCAACGTCTTCCTCAGGCAGGCGGAGATCGAGAAACCCATGGAGGATCCCGCCACTGTACGTATCCGCTTCACTTTCACTCTTCTCGAAGCATATGGTTTAATAACCCCTTGCAGCACACCTGGAGCTATGTTACCTCAACAATCTTCTTCCATGACCAACTTATAACATTCTTCTCTTGCTCCACCAGACTCCAATCCTACTCTTTAGCACCCTAAATGATTCAATATAGCCTTCCAAAAATCTCCTTCATCCTTCTCAAAGTTGCTGCTATCTGGTTGGATAAACTCATGCACCACACCTGGAACTATATTTCCTCAACGATGTTCTTCCACGACCAACTTATAACATTCTTTTCTTGCTCCACCAGACTCCAATCCTACTCTTTAGCACCCTAAATGATTCAATATAGCCTTCCAAAATCATTTCTCCTGGTTAATGTTGTGGGTGATCTTTGGCAGGGAATTGAGTACCACAAGACGGTGTTCGCGGCGTTCTTTCAAGGCGAGCAGCTGAAGACCAGGATAAAGAAAGTGTGCGCGGGATTCCACGCTTCGTTGTATCCGTGCCCGAGTACTCTGAGCGAACGGAACGACATGCTGAGAGGCGTACGCACGAGACTCGAGGATCTTAATCTGGTGAGTGACGGGCGTTTGTAGTAGATCTGATGTAATAAATAAACCGAGAAATAACTCGCGAGTTTGCTTATTTGTATAGCGCGGTTGTTTAATCAAACAATTTACGTTACCTTTACCTATTTTTATCAAGAGTATAATGATGAATAAAATTGTAATAACGTGGAATAATGAGTTTATGTATTTTTTTTGTCGTAGGTTTTGAATCAAACTCGAGACCACCGGCAAAGAGTGCTGGTCAGCGTGGCCAAAGAATTGCAGAATTGGAGCATCATGGTGAGCAAGATGAAGGCGATTTACCACACGTTGAACTTCTTCAACATGGACGTGACCAAGAAGTGCTTGATCGGCGAGTGCTGGGTGCCCAGCAACGATATACCTGCCGTACAAAAGGCTCTGGCGGACGGTTCGGTAAGCGCAGTAAAACTCTAATCGAATTAAATTACAAATCTCGCATCGCAGAGCGCTTGCGGCAGTTCCATTCCGTCGTTCCTCAACGTCATCAACACTAACGAAGACCCGCCGACTTTCAACAGAACCAACAAGTTCACCAGAGGTTTCCAAAACTTGATCGATTCCTACGGAGTAGCTTCCTACAGAGAAGCCAACCCTGGTAATTCACCAAACTGCTACACTTTACACATCACACTAAAACGTCGATTATTCCACCTCCAGCCCTGTACACGATCATCACGTTCCCGTTCTTGTTCGCCGTGATGTTCGGCGACTGCGGTCACGCCGTCATCATGTTCCTCTTCGGCTTGTGGCTGGTGCTGTCCGAGAAGAAGATCGCCGCCCAGAAGAACAAGAGCGAAATCTTCAACATCTTCTTCTCCGGCCGGTACATCATCCTGTTGATGGGCCTGTTCTCGTTCTACACGGGCCTCATGTACAACGACGTGTTCTCCAAGTCGATGAACATATTCGGCTCCAAGTGGTTCGTGAACATGACGGAGAAGGAGCTGCACGATCTGGAAGGCGACGTGGAGTTTTTGCCCAGGAAGAATTTCGCCAACGTGCCGTATTGGGTCGGATTGGATCCGGTGTGGCAGGTGTGGATTCTTTTACACAACTTAAACTTCCGATATTTTACTAGCTTCGTTGTTTCAGACTGCTAAGAACAAGATTATATTTTTGAATTCGCTGAAGATGAAGATGTCTATTATCCTAGGTGTTGCCCATATGATTTTCGGTGTAGTTTGCAGTACATTTAACTTCATGTAAGTACCATTATAACTGATGTTACTGTTAATAATTCCTTGTACTTGTGTATAGTCACTTCAAGAAATACTACAGTCTCGTGTTGGAGTTTTTACCGCAATTACTGCTGCTCATATTCCTGTTCTTGTACATGGTGGTGATGATGTTCATGAAGTGGATCATGTATTCCGGCGAATACGACGGTTATGGTAAGCACAAATCGCCGTCAGAACCGCGAATGTTTGGTTAATAATCTCCTTTCAAGACGGACCGGCCGGGCCGATCGAAGACGTCAACAAACACGGCTCCTACTGCGCCCCGTCGGTGCTGATCTACTTCATTAACATGATGCTGATGAGCTCCAGCACCGCCAACAAGGGCTGCGACGTGTTCATGTACCCGGGCCAGGACTTGGTGCAGAAGGTGTTCGTGTTCGGCGCCCTCATTTGCATCCCCGTCATGCTGCTGGGGAAACCTCTGTACATCATGTACACGAGGAAGAACAAGAAGCACGATGTGTACCAACCGGAGACTTTCAAGGTATTGTGCATTGTACAGTGCATAGAGGGTTTTGCAGTGTGGTTTTTGTAGAATAAAACCAACGGTGACGTGAACTTGGGTATGGAATTGGACGATATTTCCGAGGCGAATCGCCAGGAATTGGCCGAAGCCGCCGCTTCGGCTCATCGCGAGAAAGAAGAAGAAGAGGAGCCGATGAGCGAGATTTTCATACACGCCGCCATCCACACCATCGAATACACGTTGAGTACCATCTCCCACACGGCTTCCTATTTGCGTTTGTGGGCCTTGTCTCTCGCTCACGCCCGTAAGTACACTCCGCTTACTCTACAATACCCGTACACCTTTGCTTATCTATTTATTGCAGAATTATCGGAGGTGTTGTGGAGCATGTTGTTCGCCAAATTGGCCCTCAAGCACGAGGGCTACATCGGCGTGGCGATGATTTTCCTCATATTCGCCGCTTGGGCGGCCTTCACCATCGCCATTCTGGTGCTCATGGAGGGCCTGTCGGCCTTCTTGCACACGCTCCGTTTGCATTGGGTCGAGTTCATGAGCAAATTCTACGCCGGCGTCGGCTACATTTTCCAGCCGTTCAGCTTCAAGAGGATACTCGAAGAGGAGGAAGAAGAAGCGTAAATTGTTATTCGTTCGCATTTGATATTCGTTAGTCGTTCAATATAATTAGTAATCGAAACTAGCGATGAGTTTTTATTGAATTTATTAAATGTAAAAATCAGTTCATACGTTCCAAACACGAGATATAACGAATATTAATCACAAGTTTCTGATACCTAATTATTGATGAAGTTAATCTTCATCGTCTTCATCGGTGAGGGTGTTATCTTCATCATCTGTTAAATCGTGGATGAATGTTTCGTATTCCAACAATTCATCGTCGCTGAGATGGGAATTTCCTTCCATAAACGAGGCGAATCTATAAAATAGTTTGCTTTGTTATACAATTAAAGGATTATTGAATATTACCTTTTAACATCCTTTAACTTCAAAGCTGTTTTCCACTGATTGCAATCAGGGCTCGAACAATACGTTCTCAATTCATCCAAAGCTTTGGCGGTTTCTCTAACGCCTTGCTGGTAATACTCTTCATTACTGAGGAATTTAACTTTAGGAGGAAATCGCCTTATCCTATAAAACAAAATTATGCATCGAACACTCGATGGTGATTATTTAAACGTACCAATAATTCTTCGGCGCCATTTTCCACCTCTGCGGAAGGTTATAAGAGATTAATAGTATCACGATTTGGGCCATGGCGGCCTCTTGGTAACTGCTGCTGTTGAATATCGAACACATCCCGAGGAATTGCAGGGACCATTTGATGAGATTCATGGTGCGCTGGTTCTTCACCGGGCCCCACCTGTAGCAAACTGAAATAAATTACTCTTCGAATCAGTCCTGGACGGGTTCAGAGTGAACTTACACACGAAACTGACGAGGCCTGTTAGCAAAATGTACCACAACACGTACAATTTGTATTCGGTCACGATCGTTTGGATGTTTTCCCATATTATGTTCCCTAGGTAGATGACGAGCGTCCATCCGAGCCCTAGGGCGCCGTACACGAAGGGTTTCTGAAAGCATAAAATCGTAGAATTCGATTCGATGGCGACATTGCAAGAGTTCGCTCACCCTGGGAAAAAGTTTACTGATAAAATAAATGATGATAAGAGTCGAAGCGCAAATGCCGAACGTTATCCCGCTGATGTAATGAAACACTGTATTTTTACTCAAAGCATCGGCTGATAAAAACAGTCCGATACCGACGCCCAGAAACAACAACTTCCAAAAATCGAGATCTGAAACGATTAATTATTAAAAGTTTGTTAATTAACTCGATAATATTAATTATAGTTTACTTATAACGTTATAGTGTACAACGTAGGGAGCAATACTTCTCACTCCGATGCAAGTATCATTAAACGGATCGATCTTAAAGCTCTTCTGTTTAACCATAAATATATTCGGGGACCAGTAATATTTGTTCTTCGAAAACTCCATCTGGACGTCTTCGGGAGAACAGCCTTCGTATAGCGTGTAATCATCGCTGGGGTGGTGGATTGTGAACTGAAAATACCAAATTGAATAGATTTCTAGCAATAAATTTATCCCCAGTACTTACGATTACGCTCTGCCACGTGTAAATAATCGATTTCTTCCTTCCTTTGTAGCAAAACGTTTCTAAATCCAGACCGCTGCCGCTCGGATTTACGCTATATTTATCACCGTGGTCCAAGTAGTGCACTGAAATAGAGTGTTAATAAATGGTTTAAGGCGCTATTTATGGATTACCTTTATTGTAAATTGAGGATTGTACTGATATAAATTCGGTGGAAAACACGAAAAGTACACCGATAATTGCTTTAAACATTTTTCTACTTGAAATTATTTGCGATTTGTGGAGAAATTCATAACATCTTTGTTAGGTTATGTTTGTTTACTTTCACTTCATCTTCTTTTTTTTTAAATGTGGTATTGCACTATACAGGAAACAATTTAGGGACTGAATAGCGTAAGTAGTTGAGTCCTCGGAAACGATGAAATTTAATTAGTTCATTAGGTTAATAATAAATAAAGTTTTTTTAGTGTTTTTCATAGTTAAATAATTATATTTTGATTGTACTGGTTTGCAAATACTCCCGGACTTTGAATTAACCTTTGATCTAATGAAATATAAGTACTTTTTTCGAGTTTTTTAAGCTAGATAAAAATCGCTTGTTGAAATGAATTGATAAAAGAGTTAACGAGTTTCGATTTCGCAATTCGCTTTTTAGTCGTAGTATAAAATTGCCTGAAGCAGTTGTAAGCCCCTAGAGACTATCAAACATTCAAAAATGGGGGACGTTGATGGTAATACCGTTTTGGCGCAATCGCTCAAAAAACAAGTAAGTAAACAATATTAATTAAACTAAACCGAATTAATTTCTACTAGTCATTACACTAATAAATCATTGAATTGTTTTCTGTTTGCTTAATTATAATATTTACATATTTATACGATTAATTATACGAACTTTCTTATCTTTAGTACAATTTTTCATACTTAACTCCATTACATTAATTACCGGTTAATAACCTTGCTAATATTTCACTCTACCTACCGAGCAAATTAAAATTCTTTTAACACATTATTCACTCATCGCAGGGCATCGATTATGTATTCGGAATCATCGGTTACCCGGTGATAGAACTCAGCATGGCCCTGCAAATGGCCGACATCCATTACATAGGCATGAGAAACGAACAAGCAGCCTGCTATGCCGCCCAAGCCATGGGTTATCTAACCGGTAACCCGGGAGCCGTGCTAGTCGTTTCGGGCCCCGGGTTGCTGCACACCTTCGGAGGTCTAGGCAACGCTCAAATCAACTGCTGGCCCGTGCTGGTCATCGGCGGCTCGGCCCCGCAGGATCACGAAGGCATCGGCGGTTTCCAAGAATGCAATCAAGTATACAAATTCAATAATTCCTCTACGATTGTTGTAATGAGAATCGCATTGTAGGTAGAACTAGCCAGGCCTTACTGCAAGTACTCCGCTCGTCCTCCCAGCATACCATTGATACCTTTGCACGTGGAAAAAGCGGTGCGTTTGGCCAAAACCGGACGACCCGGCGCCGCTTACTTGGATTTCCCCGCGAATATTCTATCCGGTCGCGTGCCGGAAGATAAAATTCCAGAGCAATACGGACCGACCGACGTTCCTTTGATTTATCCGGACCCCAAGCAAATCGAACGGGCTGTTACGCTTCTGACTCAAGCCAAAAATCCTCTAGTCATCGTCGGAAAAGGCGCGGCCTATTCGAAAGCCGAAAACGAAGTGAACGAACTGATTAACAGCACTAATCTACCGTTTCTGGCGAGTCCCATGGGCAAGGGAGTAGTCCCCGATGACTCCCCGAATAGTATAGGTTCCGCAAGGTATGACTACGAAGGTATATACGTTGAAAAGTTCTCGGCCTGGTGCACTGAGGGCGCTCCAATCGGCAAAAATTGTTGTCTCCTCTTTGGGACATCATTTAAAACTGTCTAGAACTATTTAAAATGCTTCAAATCCATTTGGAATGCTCTATAGTCATTTAGAACGCTTCAGTACCATTTAGGACGCTCCAGAATCATTTTTAACTGCCTAGAACCGAATTTAGAACGCTCCAGAATCATCTAAAACCGTCTAGAATCATCTAAAACGCTTCAGGTCCATTTAGAATGCTCCATAGTCATATAAAACGCGTCACAATCATTTAAAAATGTCTAGAACCATTAAAAACTCTTCAGAATCATTTAAAATGCTCCAGAATCGTTTTTAACTGCCTAGAACCCAATTTAGAACGCTCCAAAATCAATTAAAACTGTCTAGAATCATCTAAAACGCTTCAGAACCATTTATAATGATCCATAGTCAATTAAAACGCTCCAGAAACATTTAGAACTGACTAGAACCACTTAGAACGCTCCAGAATCATTTAGAATGGTCTCGAACTTAATATTTCGTCTTAATAAGAAGAATAAGCCTTTCATTGGCCAAGAACTTTTCACTTTACCCTTCTAAACCCTTAAATAATTTATCAACTCCAGCATTTTCCGCTATTAATAGATCTACTGCACTGCTACAAGCCGATGTAATCCTCCTATTAGGCGCCCGATTGAATTGGATACTCCACTTCGGTAGACCCCCGAGGTTCTCTCAAAACGTTAAAGTCATCCAAATCGACGTTTCCGCCGAGGAGCTGCACAACAGCGTGAAAGCCGAAGTGGCGATTCAAAGCGACATCAAAACGGCCGTCAGGCCCATAATAGACGGTCTAAAGCGAAGGAACTTCACCTTCAGCGGCCAGAACGATTGGTGGAAATTGCTGAAGAAGAAGTGCGAGGATAACCAGAGAACCGTATCGGTACTTTGAACAATTCAACGAAAGCAAATCGATTCTATAAAGTGATTTAAATTACAGGCCATGGCTGCTGATGTGTCTGTACCGTTGAACTACTACGCTGTGTTCAAAAATTTGCACAATTCCCTACCGAAAGATTGCATTATCGTGAGCGAGGGTGCGAATACGATGGACATCGGTAGGACTATGTTGCTCAATAGCAAACCGCGACACAGATTAGACGCCGGTACTTTCGGCACAATGGGGGTACTAAGCTAAAATCGGCCTAATTATCCTCACGAATTACAGTGAAAATATTTGTTTTTAGGTAGGCCCCGGTTTTGCTATTGCAGCAGCTTTGTATTGCAGGCAATACGAGCCTAGTAAAAGGGTGATTTGCGTGGAAGGCGACTCGGCGTTCGGATTCTCCGGCATGGAAATCGAAACGATGTTCAGATATAAATTGCCCATAATCATCGTGGTGGTGAACAATTCTGGCATCTACACCGGCATGAAGGCTGATGTTTTGGATGAAATTCGAAGCAGTGTAGACATCCAGGAAATAGCCAAAGTGTAAGCACTGTGTACTAGCATATCCTGTTTTTAATCCTTTTGTGTGTATAGTGGCCTGTACTGTATAATACAGCAGCCAGATTATCATACTCCTCTTCATGACATCTTACAGACATTTCCTAGATTGTATATCTCCTTGTTATTCCTCTTCATCCTTGGAGTATAAGGATTACATTAGGTTTGTGATTTTAGATCGCCTCCTGGTTGTTTGACGAGCGCGACGCGTTATGATAGCATGATGAGCATGTTCGGTAAATCAGGATTCCTGGTAAATACCGTAAGTGAGTTGGAAACGGCCGTGCAAAAGGCTTTAGCAATTAATGATGCACCTACGATAATCAACGTTATAATCGATTTGACGGCTGATAGGAAACCGCAGACGTTCCATTGGCTCACGGAATCCAAACTTTAAGATTTTGGTCTATTAAATGTGTGTTTTTATTGAACAAATTTTTATATTTTATCGGTGAAAGTTTATAGGAGTAATTTGTGAACGAATTACATGTTTAAAATAATTTGTTTCTTTGAGTTTCCCACAAGTACTTTCATCCCTACGAATGTTATATCTTGTTATACTTGGAGAAGGTATCATTATTACTATACTTTTTGCAACCTAGGCAACCAATATTACAGGCTGAATACGCCAAAACGTCAACATCCTGTCATATTTTAGCACGAAATCAACTTTCTAAACTCCGTGTTCTATACATTTGGCACTTTTGACGTGACATATGACATTTGAGTTCAACGCCTGCGCCATTTTATAATAACTTTATTTTTTAAACTTGTTGATTTTTTATTTCAATAAAATAATTACCGTTTTTAGCGATAATGGATGCAAAGAAGCTCCACATGTGCAAACATTGCAAGAAGCACTTTTCGAAACGTTCGAATTTAAAGCGGCACATCGAAACAATCCACAATGCGAGAAATAATTCCGATATAACAGCGAAATACATTTGTCATTTGTGCTCTAGGACGTACCAGTACAAAAGCACCCTCGACAGGCACCTAAAGACTTGCCGAAGCGATAAATACGACCGGTTGATTCCCAGAGTTATGCAGTGTTGTTTGTGCAAAGCTTCCGAACTAACCAAATCGGAGATGCTCGAACACTACAGCAAAGACCACGACGTCGATGTATCCACTACGAAATTAAAGTTTAGCAGTTTCTCCAAATTCGAGGAGTGGAAGGAGCAAATCGAAACTAATACGATATCCAGATACGTCAAGGTATCCATTAACAAACTCAAAAAACGGTTAATACAAATCTATCGTTGCCATAGAGACGGTTATTACAGAAGCAGATCGAAGAACATTCGGCAAGTTAAAAGACTGGGAAGCAACAAAATAAACGGCCACTGTCCTTCGAAGATTTACACTTCGATGGTTATACAAACCGGAGAAGTTTACGTGAGTTATTTACCTACACACGTTGGACACACCATGGATTTAGGTATACATATTTACCGTTTACAATCCCACTTTACTAATTCTGTGCTATTTGTTAGGGAGGATACGTTTGAAGAGATCCGATCGGGAACACATCGCCTCACAAATAAAACAGAAAATCCCATTCGATGATATATTAAGGAACATTCGAGATAATTTGGACGAAAACAATTTCGATCGGTTACATTTGCTCACCAAGCACGATTTGTTCAACATCGAACAAGCCTATAATCTAGGCAACGAATCTGTCAGGCATTGTAACAAAGACTCTTTAAGTAACGGGATTAATCGGGAATCATCTTTCGTTAGATATTTCAAAAAACAGGGCGAATCCGACGACGAGTTGGAAGATAACGATTATTTGTTAATCATCATGAACGATGCTCAATTAAATTTTTTAAAAAAGCACGGTAACAAATGTATTTACGTGAATACCTCATCGCACGATTTCCAATTGACCACTCTTATGGTATTGGACGAATTGAATCAGGAGTTCCCTTGCATGTTTGCTTTCAGCAACAGATCGGACGTAGAAATTTACAAAATCGTTTTTAATATCCTCAGGAATATACTTGACGAGAAACTGTCGCCGGATATATTTATATCCGGTTTGTCCGATGATTTTTACACAGCGTGGTGTGAAGAAATGGGACCTGTTGATACCCGGTTGTTATCCAGCTGGGACGTCAAAGAAGATTGGAAAAAATCCGCTCTGAGTAAAGTTAAAGACGTAGATAAACGAAAAGCCCTGTTCAAATCTCTCCGATGCATGCTTGAAGAAACCGACGCGGATATCTTCGAAGAGTTGCTAGAAAAGTGCTTAGCCGATTTACAGAACGATCCGGAATTTACTACTTTCAGAAGGTATTTCATAGACAACTATTTGGACAACACAGAAGCTTGGGCTAGTTGTTATCGACATCACACCGGCTTGAATTCCAAAATGTACAACGAACAAGCGGAATGTAACATATACTCGAAAACTAAATCGACCAATACCTTAGAAGAAGCAATCGATACCGTAATGAGGATAGCCAGGGATAAATTACACGAACGACTCATCGTGTTACATAAAGGTAAAATATTTAAACCGCTAAAAGACTTACGACAACGCCACAAATCGGCTATAACTTCCCTTTCCGATGACACTCTGGAGATTTTCCTCGAACAAGATGGAACCTACTCGATGTCTTTCGGCGACACCGAGCAATACAAAATCGAAATATTGAAAGAACATTGCGAGTGCTCGCTGCGATGCACCGACTGCAACGCCTGCATACACTCTTACACGTGCTCCTGCATCGATTCCTGCATCAAATGGAACATGTGCGTTCACATACATTTGCTCTGTTTGAATTTGAAAGGAGGTTCGTCGAGCGAAGATCGGGGTTCCCGATTCGCCGAAGACGAGGTCGAAAGGAAGCAAAAGGAAGCCGCCATATTGTCTCAATTGGCTCGGAAAACTGGGGATATCGAAGAGCGTAAAGGCAAAATATTGGAGGAGTTTCGATCGTATTTGAATTCAGCGACGAGTAGTGAGCATTGCAAGGTTTTGGAGAATGCTTTGCTTACTATCGGACCGGCTTTCGAAGCTATTAGTTCCACAATTGATATAAAAAACGAAGATTCTAAAGAGGAGGTGATAGTGTTGGAGAAAATTGACATTTCTTGTCCAAGTTTGGTTTTCTTTAAAAAAGAATGATGTAATGATAATAAAAGAGTATTTGCGTTAAACGATTCATGTTTAACTTATCCTTTTGTTGTTATTTTGTATCCTAGGAATTGTAGTAGAAGAAATTAACAGAAAATTCGTTGCAACAAAATAAGGAAATGGGATATAAGGAAATACTTTCTATTTGCTTGAATTTTCCAGAAGAAAATTAATTATTTGCAATAGAAAATGGGTCTAGTATAAGGGAGGCTCAACAATCCACGAATTTTGAACATCCTATACATTAATGACAGTATTTTTGAACTTATTTTTCGTATACTAACAAAACTATAATAAATTTACTATGATTAATTCAATTTTGGTCACGTGGGAAGCAATCAACTGTAGAATGCACTGTAGAAAGACTTTCGTCTTGAGGCCTCAGCTTCTTCGGCTATTCGGCCCCATTTTTGATTTGCCATAAGTGCGAATTTGCTGTTTTGACAACGTCCATAACAAATTAACGGAAATGTATTGATATTTTACGATTGTATTAACACATTTCATTCGATCGTCGCCAAATCACCAATTTATTTTTATAAAATTTCAATTCGCAAAAGTTGGCAGATATCTGTCATTTTTTGACAAGACATGACATAAGCGCGTCAAGCGCAATTGACCGCGGCCTAATGGCAAACGTTCGGTTTCTGTTCGGAATTTTAACGTGTAATAACGGCGCAAACGGGCCGCCGCGGCGCTGGTGGGGAACTCCGGGCGGTCGCGAATCGCGGCGTTCTCGACTCCGTAGTCGCCGACACGCACGACGTCGAGGATACGCCGAGTCCTCGATCAGTTCACTCGCGACAGGCAACCGGAGCGAGTCGAGTGGAGACCCGAAGGACCAAGCGGCGATTTCGGTTCTTTTCATCCGCACAACCCCGTGTTTTTCGGTGAGAGTTCGCGCACGCGGGCCCCCTGCCCCCTTTTTGGACTGTCGCTCGGCAAGTCGAATTTTTCGGTCTTCGAAACGATTCGAAAACATGACGTTGTCGTTGGAGCTGCGAGGCGCACGGAGAAAGTGAGAAAGGCAAATTCGAAATTCGAGGACGAATCGAAAATTGGCGATACCGAAAAAAAATGTAGTAGACGTTAAGCGAGGAAGAAATAGTTGAGTTTTTTTATGGCCGTACGCTGAAGAATCTCTGAAGAATCGTCGGAAGACTGGTAATGGATGTTTCTAACCTAATTTGCGCTCCAGATATCCATAGTTAATTCCCATCTTCGCCTGCACTCCGGCCGAAGACGTCTTCATTACACTAGGTTAGTAAACAATTTTATTTCAATTCAATTTCAGCGCAATAACCCCACCGATTCGTTCGTAATACACTCATAAATACTTTTCCTGCCCCAGCGGATATTAAAAACAAAACAAATAAAGCAATATATTTAACAATACTTTATAATAATATCACATTCGCTCTACCTGATAATGAGTTTTATCCCCACAATTCGATACGGTTATCATTTTTACAGGAAACGGTCCGATAAAATCCCGAAAATTTTTGTCCGAAAGATACACATGAATAATTTTAATTCGATCGAATTACTATTTATACCGAACATATTTCTATTTCTATCATAAAACGCGGCTCGTATATTACACTGTAACTCGACTATTACATTACACGCCGAGAGAAAGTTGCTTAAGAAGCGATAGTGAGCTTTATTTTACAGGTAGAGTGGCTCATTTTCGATAACCAGTTTGCGGTTGCAACTTAATAGCCCCCTTATGCAGGGACGGTTCGCCCGATTCGTTTTGTCCCGCGACAATTACACGTAAATATTTTCGAATTTAACACGTGGCGAATTTTATTAAAGAGCAAAAAAAAAAAATAAATACGTACGAAAGGTCAGAAGGTTTATCGTCATTTTGAATTTATCATAAAATAACGAATTCCTAGTATTTGTTTTTGTTTATTTCATATAATTAGGAAGAAGATAAGTTAAGATGCTAAAGAAATGAAAGAATTAATTGGCATCCAAATTCCCTCTGATTCGTATATAAAAAACCCAAGTACTTAATAAACCTCAATGTAATTTACCGAGCAATCTTACGCGAGATCGTTTTCCGCGTTATTTAAGATTAACAATTAAATAAACATGCCCTAAAACGACACCGGAACGAGCGTAGTCCTTTTTTAAACAAGACAAATGGCCTAACAGGAGAGGGCCCCTTCTTCGGGTAAGGAGACCCGTGTTTTAACATCATCAATTATGGAGACAAACGAATATTCGAGCCATTTTTTATGTCGAAAAGTGGATTGGAAACGGGTCGAAGGGTCAGGAATCTCTCACCTTTAACGATATAGTGCGATTTATTATCGTCCTTGATTCGACAATAAAATTTTGGCGATACGCAAAATTGTCGTGTCATAATACTTGCGAAAATTAAACGGTCAATGAATCAAAAAATTACATTTTGTTTACCATTAGAAATCGATAATAATGACAATGAGCGTAAAGAAAGCGACGTTCGATTAATTGCGCAATTATTTTATAAAAATTAATGCCGCCTAAGTAAAACGATGAAAAGGAGAAGAAGAAGAAAAAAAAAATAGAATAAACACCAGTGAAACTCGGGGAAAACATTTCCGTCTCGCGCAAGTAATTATCCTCTCCCCCGGCCGATGTAAAACCGGGCGGTTTTAATATTCCTAAAGAACAATCTTCTGAATTATTTCTTATACACATTTCGTAAGTATTTCGGGGGATAAAACTTTTAAGGAATTGAATATTTTAATACGCAAAGAAGGATTAAAAACTCCGGATCGGAATTAGAATTTCGCTTCAAAAACTTTCATAACGATACGTTTTATAAACGTTATTTTATAACGTCAAATTGATTTGAACCATTTCGAAATCAACCCTTTTTTAAACAACTTTTCAACATTTATTAATAATAACAGCAAATTTCAGTATTGAATTTGTGGCTGTGGAGGTAAAAAATTACATCCTGTATATAGAGTGGTGATTAATAATTTCGATTAGTGAGTAATATATTTGGAAATTAATTTTAATGAAATCGAAATTAAATTTGTTAAATTTTTGCGTCGATTGAAATAATATTAAAATGAAAATTCGTTAATAATTTGACAGCTATAAATTATAGTTAATAGAAAAATAAACGCAATAAGGTCCTGTAAAAAATGTTATCATACCTATGAAACATTAATTAATATAATTACTAGAAAATCTGGAACAATACGAAGATAATCAAATTAAATTTTACAACATTGATTGTGCATTTTTTCGCAATAGGCTTGCGTTAATAAAAGTTTCCATTTTTATGATCGTCGGTGCATTATTTGCTTTAATATAATTATGGTATTTACATTTACGCCCGGCATTATTGCGACTGTAAAAACGCCAATTTAATATCGATCGTTAATGTTTATTATTTTTTTATTAAATTAGTAAGCGTAATACAGGTGCTCATTCACCTTTTAATTGTTATTAAAAACCGATCGATTCGTTATATTATTTTCAGTTAATTGAAATTTGTCTGTTGTCGCAATAAAATTAAATTCTAATTTCGTACGTAATTTGATATTTACATGTTGTTTTTAATAATAATTATCAGTGATGTTAAATGTATTTGATGTCGGATTTTGTTTTGTACTAAAATCCCGGATAATTGCGTTTATAACATTCACTAAACTCGACTTAATTAACTTTCTCGTTATCGAGACATTTTAATCGAGTAAACCGCTAGTTCAACCAAGAAACATTAACCTTTTTCTTAGCTAGTAAAATTCGCTGTTTTTTTCCATCCACCCATATACCTTTATTCCATACCCGTCGTTACTTTACTTTCTTTTTTGTACGATTTATCATAGCGAGAAACCACCATTAGAAGCAAATGACTGAAAACTGTTCGTCTCTTGTTCCATTTTAGACTGCACGTTGATTTCTAGAAGGCGCTTTTTGCGCTCCCTTGCGCTCCGCTTCTCCCTGGAAAGGGGACGGATCGGCCCCGAAACGAAAACAATCCCCCATCATTAACTCTCGAATCGCGGATTTTGAAAATCTTGCAAAAAAAACTTGTAAAGTTGAACCTTTATTGGTCAGTTATTGTGGTCAAATATTACAACAGTAAGTGGAAATAAATTTTCCTCTAGATGGGTTCGTTTTTGCTTGCTTTTAAATTGATGCAAGTTATGCAAAATGTTTGTATAAATCCAATCTGATTCCGCTCCTGAGCCGTCATTCCTCATCGACCTGGAGGTATTTTTATAATAGCACGCTGGCTGCGAATGAAAGTTCATATTGGTGCGAATCATCTCTTCCCCTTTTTTTGATTTACAAGGGTTCCTCGGCGGTGTTTTACAGAGTGTTTTTGCCTATTTAGCGCCCGGTCATCGTTTATCGAGCCAGGAATCGGTCAATTGAATTATGGTCCTTTTTTTTCCTCTCCTCTCACCATCTTTTCATGCGGTAAAAGAGATTTTCGACGCGGAGCATTTGCATTAGAGAACGCTTCAAGACTCGGCTCTCTCAATGGGTGATTTAGATCTGTAATTGTGTTCAAATTCTATTTTTCTGAGAAAAAAAAAACATTAGTTAGGCAACCAGTTTTACAATAATCTGCAATTTAGCTCGAATCAGCTTTAATCGGAAAGTTAAAGTCGAAAAGGTTGCGCGTTTAATTATTTTTTTATTCGTTATTTGGGAGTCGGAAAAAGTTTCCTCCGGGGCGCGCGTTTCGCTTTCAAAAAGCCCCACGAAAATCCCGCTAAAAAATTCCAAACATCCGCATGCATATAAATATCCGTTCGTCAGGGAGCCGGAGAAAGAGCCAAACAACCTACCAGCCACCCCCTTAATAATTCACACCGTCTGAAATAAATCACCGGGCAGGAATAGTGGGTATTCTCTTTTCCTGATGCGCGACGGCGTGCACTACATAATTTAAACTGTTGCTCGCGTTTTCTTCCGCGAGAGAGAAGACTCCATTATTCCTGACATGGTGGAATTCATCCCCGGATGCATGCTGAATAATCCCGATATCCTGTTGTTTTGATTTTTTTCACCAAAATACCTATTAAAATCGGATATTGATTGGGAGTGAGTAAAAGATGCTTTTAGTTTGAGTCGCGTTGACTATAAAGTTCCTGTAAAATTAATGAATAATGTATGCTGGTTTCTTTCAAGCGAGCTTTTGTACCCCGATAAAGAACAACCGAATATCCTAATAAACTGCAGCGCGCAACTTAAATAACTAACTGTATAATTTAACCGGGCGAGTTGAATGGAAACGAAAACGTTCCCGTAAAGTTAGAACTAATGCTTGAAAGCAAAGTTTGTTATTGTGCGCTTAGATTTTCCATGCCGGAAGCCGTTCCGAAACCGGCATAAATAATAAATCAATGCAAACATTCGAATTTGCGATGGTGTATGTAGGTGTGTAATTTCGAATTTTGCGGTAACCGGCTATATATATACAGCGGTAGAATTCTTACGGAGCCGCGTCTGGTCGAATGCACTTGAACTAAATCCAATTTGTATTACGTTAAAGAGGAGTGTATAAAAGTGCGGTGTGTATAAAGCGATGTATTTTGCAAAACGTGGACTTTGCTACATCGTGATTATCGTCCATGTCGTTGCATAGAGAAAGTTAAGGTCACTATTTTATGTCAAGTGAATAGCGTATGTAATCTTTAAACGGACAAAAAAAAAAACTCGCGCGAACTTGTTTCGTTTGCCGCGATTACGTATCAATCGATATTAACATTAAACTGCTAAGAAGTTGCATTCGAAACGGGCGCGATTTGCTCTTCATTAATTTCTATTCTATATTCCAAAACCGAGGAGCGAAATTTACGACAAGACTTTCCGAATTTCCTTAAAATGATTTCACTTCGCGCTTCCTAAATTCATATAAAATTCCAGTCGTTATTATGCTATGCATTGTACATACTTAAGTAAAGTTATACGTGCTCGCCCATGGAGGCTACATATTTATTCAAAGGCGGTAAATTGTACATTTTCGTTTAGTAAAATCTTGAGATTTTAGTTGTAATCTTTCCGGATCGGTTAATGCTATTTAAGTAAGAATTGGGCTAATGCATATAAACTCGAAAGAGTTATCTATTTGTGTACAAAAAAATCGTTTAATTAATAATATAAGAATTTATCAACAAATTACAAATAGCCGACGTTTAGGAATTTTATAGGTATTTAACGTTTTTTTCCATCCAATTACTAAAATTTTCCGAATTATCGCTACAACAATCGCGGAATGTGCATATTAGACATATTCT